TCATAGGTTACTGAGAGAAAAAGGGTGAGGGGTGCCTGGCTGGCTCAGCTGGTAGAACATGCAACTCTTGATCTCAGTGTTGCGAGTTTGAGCCCCACACTGGGTGTAGAGATTTTAAATAAATTTAAAAAAGAAAAGAAAAGAAAAAGAGTGAATATATATAAAGCACTCTGGACAGTGTCTGGCACATAAGCTGTGAATAAATGTTATCTGCTATGATTATTGCTGTTGTCTGTGTCGTTTGTCTCCTCCTATAGACTGGGAGCTTCTTGAGGGCTGGCTCACCATCTTATTAATTACTGTATCCACAACTCCCAACCTAGGGCCTCATTGAAATAATAATTGTCTATTAAGTAAAAGAGCAAATGTATCACTGCTCACATGTTTCAAGGTGGGGAAGGAAGTTGGGCAGGGGTATGAGTAGACATGAGATTACTTCATGAGTAGACATGAGATTCCCCCAAGAATGATGATAATAGGAGGAACTCTGGCCTTCCTGGAGCAGATAGAATCCAAGAAACAGTAAATGTGAGAACCAGAAGGTCCTTCCCAGATCAAAGTTCAGCTCCCCCATTTGACAGATGAGGAGCCTGAGGCTTAGGGAGTTCAGGTGACTTGCCTGTGGTCATACAGCTCATCAGCATTGGAGTGAATGTGTCAGGGAGTGTGGGCCCTTTTTCCTAACCTCAGGTTCTACCCCATGGGCAACTGGACAGAATTTCTTACTGGTTTAATTTCACGAAGTTTTTTTTTTAATATGCTAAGCTCCTAAGAGACAGAGGTGAAATGGGCTCAGGGAGCATCCAGATTTGGGTAAGACGGACATTAAATAAGCAAATACAAGTGTGAGGAGGGGGAAGCTCAGGGTATGATGACAGTTTGTCTTGTTTCCATCGGTAGATGTCAAGAGACTGAAAAACCAAGTGAGAACAGTGGGACAGCAGGAGGAGGCTGGAGCAAACCTATTGAGGTCACTTGGGGTATAACTCTGGACCCTCCAGCTAAAGTGAAGCCCCCTCCCATATGAAATGGAAACTCTGGGGTGGGAAGCAGAGGTTGACTTCTGTCGGGGTGTTATGGGGTGGACACGGTGGGCGCCTGGAGAAAATGTCTCCACCTCATCATCAAAGGTCATATCTCCCCCACCAACCTTAGAGAACCCCCAAGCCGGCACAGCCCCACCCCAGGGCTCCTGGAAGAGTGGCAGAGCAGGGAATTGTTGCTAACAAGTATATTTTTGCCCTGCTTAAGGCACAACTATAAATTCACATAATAGATCCACCGATATGACTGGAAATGCATAGGACAGCTCAGGGGTGGGAAAAATCATAGCTCACCCCAGTGCCATTAATCTTCCACCTGGGAGTAGTTTAGCATTAAGCATCCATTATTTATTAGGGAGACGGGGATGTAGGGAGGAAGGGCAGTGTATGGGAAGCAAACAGCACTGACAGGGAAATGTAACGGGCAACGTGGTGCAGCTGGATGTGGGGGGGAACGGGAGCTGGGAGAGCCAGGCTCTGCCACAGCCACCCCTGGGTGACTTGGTAGAAGTCACTTAAACCACTCTGGCCTTGACCACCTCATCTATAAAATAGGGCTTGGATTAAATGGTCTCCTAAATTCCTTTCAGGGTTTGAAATTCTGTCCAAAATGTTCTCTGCATTATGAAGAAAATTTGTTTTCAGAAGTTGCATTCACGAGGCCCCTGGGTGGCTCATTCGTTAAGCATTTGCCTTCGGCTCAGGTCATGATCCCGGAGTCCTGGGATCAAGCCCTGCTTCGGGCTCCCTGCTCAGCAGGAAGCCTGCTTCTCCCTCTCCCACTCCCCCTGCTTGTGTTCCTTCTCTCGCTTGTCTCTGTCAAATAAATAAATAAAATCTTAAAAAAAAAAAAAGTCGCATTCACTACCCTAGGAGGTGTCATCAAGCCATCAGGGAGCACATTTCCGGGAGAGCCATCTCAAGTCTTTCCCTAAAGATCCCCAATTGATAAGAGCCCCATGAGGACATGCACCCAGGTATGAAATGTTTTTGAGTTTGTTTATTGGGGCAAAAGTAATTTTGCATTCTACTCCATAACCTATTTTTGCTTGTGTTCCTATAAAAATGGTATTCTCAATTCTTACTGTAGATGTTTGTTGATAAATCTAGATTTGAAAGTTGACAGAGAACCTCATCTTTTGATCTTGCACTATGGCCAAGCCTTAACTCTGGGTGATAAGATTACAGAGAATGTCTCTTTTCTTCTTGGTGTTTTCTGTATTTTCTATTTCTTCTCTAATGCATTTATATTAATTTAATACTAAAGGAAAGTGAATACGTCTTCAAAATAGGAAAAATAACAAATTTCTGACCTTCCGTGTATAGATTTTAAGGGGAGAAAGACTTCCCTTTATGAACGAGTTCCCTGGTGACATTTTCTTGTTGTGCTCTATCTCATATATCTGAGAGGCTTACACATAGTAATTACATGAGAAACAGGTGCAGTTGAATATATGAAAGTAATAATAACAATAATTATGGTGACGACGGTTACCACTGTGTTTTGCCGTATGCTACTGTTCTAAACTCTGTACGGATCATCAT